CTTCCTTTGGAGTTGAGCTGTAGCTGGAGCCCAGTTTGTCTGTGACAATCCCACCCACCCCAACTCAACCCTCCAAAGCACACAAGCCAGCTCTCCAGCAGCTGCTCTGCCTGGCTTCAGTAGGGACACAAAGCGTGCAGCTGGCCTACTCGCGTGCCGAGGGCCAGGCACCCCAACAGGTATTTGAGGCCTACTAATTCACTCCAGATCCCCCCTCCCCTTGGCTCCCAGGCTCAGGCATTCTGCCCACTCTGGCCAAGCAGAGTCACTGTATTCTGCCTCTGGTTGTTCAGCTTTGAGAGGGAGGGGGAGGAATGGTCCAGAGAGGATAGTACAGCTTCAGGCCCAGCTCCACCAGGCTGTTTTCAACAATGCATGCAGAAATGGAAAGGATACCTCACCACCCTTGCTCTCCCCTGCCAAGGTTCTGGCAGGGACAGTGAACATACAGCCAACCCTTCCCCATCTACAGGACTATCTTTTCCATCCCAATCCAGAGTAACTCCACCTGGAAATTGAAATGCAGCTATTAGAGAGCCATGGCTATCCATCAAAAGTCACAGACATTAGTTTAGCATCCAGGCAACGTTCCAATCTACAAGACCACATAGAAAGAATTTCTATAACAGTACAGAAAAAAGGTGGTCAAGGAAGGCCCTTTTGGCTTCTGTTCCAGAGGTGTTTTTTCCCCTGCAGGATGGACTGAAGCCCCAACACTATCCATCATCAGGCTGACGCCCTGTTTTCAATTCCCCAGCCCACCAGGAACCAAGCCAACCCCAAGCACAGACTCTGACCTTACCTACACACCCTTCATGACAAAGATAACTCTGTTCTACAGGGACCAAGAGAACTCAATGCCAAAAGTGCACTGGCACTCTGCATCTACCTCAAGCATACACTTTCAGACTAATTTCCTTCTTTTCTGGTAGTATAGGAATAATGTAATCTAAGATGACCATAGCCAGGCAGAGTCTGCATCATCTTCACATACAAGATCCAGCATCTTCGGGAGTCACTGCCCACTATACCAGGGCAGCTGTTACCTCAGCAGCCCTATCCTCAAACACAGCCATCAGAGAAATCTGTAGGACAGTCTTCTACCTGTTTCAGCCTCTACATTTATGAGGGTTTATAGTTCAGATGCCTTTGCCTCCGCTGAGACAGAGTTTGGCAGTAGAGTCCTCCAAAGCACTGTCCCCTAGTGATTCCTCCTTTCTTCTTGGTACCATTTGGGATTCTGCAGGTTTTCAACATTCCAGTCTTACCGCTACCATCTTCCACTGATGAAGAATAAAATATTTGACTTACCATAAAGGTTTCTTCTCATTAGAGGAATGAACAGTATCCTTCCCCATCCTAGTTGGCAGCAGAGGGATTGCGTGAGGACTCCTTTTGTTTTCCCCTTAGGGGCCAACTTTCTCACTTAGACATATTCTCTCATGAACAGTTTTTTCCTACAATAAAAGTGGACCTGTTTTCCTTGGTAGTTGGCAAGTCATGAACTGGGAAGCCTTGCAAAAATTATTCACACAAGCCCTGCCTGTAGAGCAAAGAGGAGCATAACCCAATCTTAAGGATACCTTCTATTCCACTGATAAGAACTGATATGGTGTTTTGATTACTTGTTTTTCTGCACAGATTCTAAACCACTATATAAAAGAACAAACAAGTTATGAAACAAAATGGGGAAAATGCTCCTACATTTTATGAAGTAATGAAGATCTCTCATCCTTCATTTGGGCTACTGAGACCAGAGACTCCAGTCTGGTGATTGAAGGGGTTTTTTTTGTCTTGACAAGCAATGGAATCAATATTCTATAATGCCAGTTGGCTAATTTTATTTATATAAAATATATTATGCTGTTCTCCTTATCAATGGGATTTTAACTGGTTTATGTCAAAACAAAATCACAATTTACAGTAATACGATTAAAAATAAGCGACAATTTTTTTAAAAAAAATAAGCTACAACCTCCGTTCACAAACCATCAAAAACATCCTGGAAGAGCTCAGCTTTACAGAGCCGCCACAATCTTTGCAAAGCTTGGCCTTTACATCCTTAGAAGCCCATTCCACAACTCAGGTGCAGTCATTGATAAAGCATGCTGAACTGAGTGGGAGGAACTAGTAGTAATTACTGGCTCCTCTTTCCTCCATCTTCAGGATCTTTGTGGCTACAACTGAGACTTTTCATAGTAGTCCAATATATACATAGATGAAAATAGTGAGAGAACATGGGGTTGGGGGGGGGCATATATAACCAACATAAAGATGAAGGAAATTGAGCCCTGGCTTCAGGGGATGACTCTTTGGAGGTGGTCAGGGAACTAGGCAGCTTCCTCATGGATGAATTCCTAATTCTAAGTGCAGACTTCCCCACTGGTTCTCTAACTTTAAACTAGCTAAGACATCAGCATGCATAAACAAACAGTAAATTTTTCCATGACTACAGAGAGAGAACTTGTAAATCCCAACACCCCCTTTCTCTAGTTCATCAGGATATCTGCAATCATCTTTTCAGAGGGCCAAAACTTGATCAGTCCTTGTTGGATCTCACTTTGTGGTATCTCTGGGCAGGAACTTGCAGGAACAGAGTTCCGGCTGGCTCCTGAGTTGGCCACGCCCAGCAGGAACTCATTAGCATAATAGGCCACACCCAACAGCAGAAACTCATTAGGATTGGCTACATTAGAGGTGTGTAGCCTAACATGCAAAGGAGTTCCTGCTACAAAAAGCCCTGTGTTTTGACAACAAACAAGGTAAACAGAATAAGAAGCAAAAGGTGGGTGTGGCTGGATGACCGCACTTCTGGTAACATGTGGGTGTGGCCTAATGTGCTAATGAGCTGTGCTGTCAAGGGTGTGGCCTAATATGCTAATGAGTTTCTGCTGCTGGGTGTGGCCTATTATGCTAATGAGTTCCTGCTGGGCTTTTTCTACAAAAAGAGCCCTGCTCACAGCAATGGTGTAATGTAAGGACAAAAACACAGCAGAATATGTATAAAATTAACGGAGTACTCTTTCATCAAACTAAAGTATAGCAATCGTGAAGGCAACTGTTTAATGACAAACTAATTTTTTTAAAACCTTGTATATTTTAATTTGCTTTGCTTTAGACTTTTATCTACAGTGCTACTTGGTAAGCCTGGCCTTGTGATTTGTAAGTGCTATGAACCTGAACTGATTTGACAGCAATAGTCCATTAATCCCTATTAATAGCAGGAAGTTCAAACCGTCACCAAGAGTTAAGCCGTTCTGCAGTCTGTGAAAGAAATTTCTTTAAATCCGGTTCCAGTTCACAACATGTAACTTTTATCTGCTTTCACAAAAACCGTCAATTAGGATTAGGAATGTGTATTTAAATAGGAATCATTTGTTTTGAACGTTGTTTCATCTGTTTCCCCACCATTGTACTTCCACACCTACACGAAAAATAGAACGTCGAATTGTACTGCAGACGTTAAAAGAATCAGCCTAAGGGAAAGCAGCGGGGTGTGTGTGTGTGTGTGTGTCAGGGGGGATGGTTCCCTACAGCCTTACAGGGTTTAAGCGAAACAAGGTTGTCCCTTCCTGAGCTTCAGGAGTTCCAGCTCCTCTCGCGTTCCCCCTAATTTTATCGTAGGGTTGCATCACCCTTGGGTAGCCGTGGGACAGCGACAAGTGAGAAAAACTTGCCTGCCCGCCCGGTCATCTTGGCTACCGGAACCGTCTCTCTTAGCCGGTGCTGTTGGGAGGGGAGGATGAAACTGCCGATGGCAGTGCAGGAAACCGAACAGTAGGAGCGACGCAATGGCTACCGCGACAGCAGTGGCGGCGCAGCTACCAAAGGATGAGACGCTACGCTGCTGGGAGCGGTAAAGTAAAAGGTCACCCCAAAGCGGGGAATACGAAGAAAGAAGTGCCGCGGCGCAGGCACTTCCTGTCGCTGTGGACCCTGGGACTTGTGTTGCTTTTGAGGCTGTTCTAGCGGCTTTTCTTTCTGTTCGCCCATCTCCTGGGACGGGTCTTCCTGTTGCTTAGAGCGCTTAAAGGCTGCAGCCGTATTTGTGAATGGACCACGGCTTGCTTCCGAGTACACCTAGGAACGGGTTGCCAGGGCTGCTAACTCACGTCTCTCTAGTCAGTCACGACTCACGAATACGACGTCATTGCATGCCGATTACAAATATGATACTAACACAAAGTTCATAGCAAATGCCGTCATACTTCCGCAATCTTTTCTCAATGACACACACGACTGCTCACACTTCGGTCTTGCATGTATATCCTTCCGTTTGCAATGGATCGAAGGCATTACCACCCTCAGTACGGGGGGGGGAGGGGAGCGAAAGCTTGAGAATCGGGATCCAATTAAGTTCCTCACATGAGAAAAAAAATATCCTCCCTTGCCTTAAAGAATGAAGTCTAGTGCGATTATAAACATGACTACGTTAAGAAGTGGCTCCCACTGAGTCCTAGAAAATGGGTTTGGGATTGCAAACTTAATATCTCCCTGCTACACAACAATGAGCATCATTCTAGTGTCCCCTTTTATAAGTGGTCAAGCTTGTTAATGTAAAGTTTACAGATTTGCATAAAGCTCCGGATGGCTTACCTTGCTTGACCTTTCCAAGAAGTGTTTGATACTGGTGTGTTTGAGCTGTTATGCATGTTAATAGTATGCAAAGCTTACGCCCCTCATATTGATGGGCAATCTGAATTTAGCATAGTCCTCCAAATGCTGATTGGAATGAATGAAAAGTCTTTGCAATTGGGGTTGCCAGTTTAACCTTGGGAAATTGCCAGAGAGTTAGGGGCAGTTTGGGGAAGGAGCTCATTGGGGCTGTGATGCAGTAGTATCAACCATCCATTTCTTCGAGGGGAAGAGATCCCTGTGTTTTGAAGATGAGCTCTAATTGTGGGAGCACTCCAGGCCCCAACTTGAAGTTGGTGAGGCTATTTGCAGTGCCAGTGAGGCATGAGGGAGAGCTTTGAGAAGTGAATCCAAGTAGGATGGCCCTCATAATAAAAGGTGTGGATTTATGATTAAAAGAGGAAGGGCTTGTTTATGGAAACTGGGCTATATATCTTGTGAAACTATCTTATGCTGAGTCAGATCACATGCAGCTCAGGATTGTCTATTCTGGCCAGTAGTGGCTCTCTGGGGCAGAGAAAGGTCTTTCACAACACCTGCTACCCAAGATTCTTTGAACTGAGGATGCCAGGTGTGGAAGCCACTTTGTTTTTTAAGGCTCCTTTTCCAATGAACAAGACTGCCAAGTTTTCAGGGAGGTGGAAGAAGGAGGCGATTGATACGAGAAGTAGTCTTGGCCTGTTTTATCAAGCTTTGAAAATGTTTTCAGGCTTGAGTAATGAGCTTTAAACATAACATGACTATCCAGTAAGATAAGGTTCAGACAATCTAAAAGCTAACATGAGCCCCAGTAACAGTAAAAATCTAATCAGATTTTACTTAATAATTTCCTAGTATGAAATAGATAAAAGGCTTGTATGCAGGGGGTGGGTGTTCTTCTCACTTTTAGAAGATTGAACCCATGCAGCTGTCTGTAATGAATAAAGAAACTGACTCGCTGCTTCAAATTTTGGTTCCCGAACCTCCTCTTATTTTTGCTACAATACGGGGATTGGGCCATTCTGTATGCAAAGTAGCTGTCACTGAACCACTTGGACATGGGAAACAATCAAACCACAATGCACATGCACAAACCATTTTACCATCTTGCTAATTCAATCCCAGCTAGAGGAACAACAATAAATTCCCTGCATAAGCTTTCTGGGCCCATGGAGGTCTTCTTACTAAAGACAGATAATACAAGGACTTTTTTTAAAAAAATAAAGGACTGAAAGTTGTATGATAGAAACTTCATAGCCTTTGTTGCATGCCAGCATGCAGCTCTTTTGCCTCTTTGTCCTATTTGATCAAACAGGTTTTTGAAGCACAATTTCTTTAGCAGAGGCAACAGTGGGATGAGTACATACACAGCATTCTGGTTAAAAACAAACTCGCTTGCATGTCCCCAGCTCTGTTCTTAGCCATGAAATAAACTACTTCTATTGCATTCCCTAGGGATCAGGCCCAGCTGAAGGCAGATGTGATTGAGCAAGATACAGAGGAATGGCAAAGCAATCCCTCCTTTTCTGGGCTGGAAAGAGTTGGAGGGGTGGACCTGTCTTACGTCAAAGGAGAGGACACGAGTGCCTGTGCTTCACTGGTAGTACTCAGCTACCCAGACCTTGAGGTAGCCGTCTTGGGACTGGAATATTCTTCTCTTGGATAGTGTTGAGGCAGAGCCATAGCCAGAAAATGTTGGTTGGTGGGGTGTGGGGAAATCCGGGGGGGGGGAGCCCCAGCTGTACCTGCTGCTCCTCTTGCAGCAGAAGCAGCAGCAGCTCTGGCTCTGCTACAACCTCTAGTCCTCCTCTAGTCCAGTAGTCCTTTCGATTGGAGAGACTCGATTCGGGGCTGCTTTTCTGTGTAACCTGGGGAGAGGGGGTTATCTCTGACTCTCTCTCTCTTGCATTTTGCAATTTTATTTTATTTTTTGCAATTTGATTTGATTTGATTTTTTTGCATTTTAAAAAACCTATTTATTTTTTGTCCTGGAAAAAAGAAAATGAGGCTGAAGCTTACCTGACTGTGCCCGGGGTCATTTTGGAAACCCCACGTGAATCTTTCACTTTTTAATTTTTTTAAAAAAATTCTTGTCCAACAGTTCAGGGCATAACCAAGGATCTCTGGGAACTGGTGAGCTGCTGGGAAGGTTGGCATAGATAGGGGAATGAAAACTCCAAAGATCTTAGCAGCTGTCTTGAAATATTAAAGTACCTGGCAACAGAAGATACTTGTTTACATAGCAGAGCTGAAGGTAAAATGGTAGCAGTGAGTCTGGAATAAAACAGCAGGATGTTTGTGATAAAGTGGTTAGGATTCACTCTGGATTAAGTAGATTATGGCTATAAATTCTGCCTTCTGTTTACAAGGGATACATGCCTGTTTCCTATAATGACTCTTCATCAGGTTGATATTCCCCAAGAGGTTGCATTTTCAAACGTTTGCAAGTACCTGCACAATTCCATCTGTCTCATTTTATAAGAACTCCCAAAATCTGGGGTTATAGGTTTGTTTGTCTTGCTTTGCCGTGAATTAGAGTTAACAGCAATTTTACCCCGGAAAGTTTTTCTTCACAGATTTTAAATTTGTTCAAAAATAAGGTCTGTAGGTGCCTGGAAGGAACTCCATCAGAAGGATGAGGATTAAACAATTAATGTTCACTGCTCTTTCTAAAGCTAAACCTTTGGAACCCCCCAAATACAACTTGTTGTTTCACCTTGCCAAACGGAACACCTTATGTGTTTTAAATGAGCTGGCAAATGTTGTTAAGTTCAAAAATAAATCAATTTTTGAGGAGATTTCTCTCAATAATTTCTTTTTGTTTAGCATTCTGCAAGTGAATGCAACTTTTGTTTGGTTTTCATTTCTTCCAGTAATTAAAGCTGAAACATTTAAGGTTGAAAAATGGGCACCATTCCATGCTGCTTTAGCTGCAAAAAACACAGAATGTGGTCTGTTCTCTGATATATTTTATGGTCTCCAGATGGTCTCCAGAAACTGGTGGCAGATTCCTGAGACTGATGGGACAAGCTGAGCAGGAAGGAGTTAGGCTTCTTTTCAGCTCTGAGACTTGGTGGGTAAGGAAGTGCCTAGACAACAGGCTGTCAAACAAAGGGCTGAGCTCCCCCAGCTTGCTAGCCCGGATGACCGTGCTGGCATATGGTAGGATCCCACACAGTATTTCCATGTGTGAGAGGATTTCTACCCACAGAGTGCACCTTTATGTCCTCCCCTCACCTGCTGTGGGCAAAATGTCCCCCCAGTGCTGTTCCTAAGGGTCCTCTGTCCCACAAGAGCAGCATTTGGGGTGCCGTGGGAGAGGGGAGGCGGAGAAAGGTGGGCAGAAATGGTTCCGCATGCAGAAACATTCTGTTAGACCCAAGCCATTGTGCTTTTTTTCTTAACAGAACTTGTTGTTATCCCGAACAGAGAAATCACTCATCCTACATTCTCCTTCCACCTCAGGTGCTGTATGAAGATTGCCGCATGGTGGTGGTTGATGCCCCCTACGTGGCAGGCTTCCTGGCTTTCCGAGAAGCCCCTTTCCTTGTGGAGGCTGTGCGACGGCTGGAGGAACGCCAGCCTGGCCTCAGGCCTCAGGTGTGATGTTTTCTATTCCTTTAATGGGGAGTTATTTGCTGCCAAGGACGTCTGTCTGTAAATTATGCCTTTCCCAGTTACTCTGGGCCCAAGGCCAGGATCTGTTTTACAGGAGTGTTAGGCAGGCTGCCAACTTGACAGAGCATTTGCAGCAGCATGAAAATTGTTGCTTTTGGAGATGAGCGATCCAACAGCCAGATGCCTCTGTCATCAGTAACGGTCTGTGTGCTTGCAGTGTCAGTCAGTGTAGTTTTGCAGGGATGCTTTCCAGGGAAGCAAAGCATGTGCAGAACACCATGGTGCAGACTCTTATCTCAGAACTTGACTGAAGGGGTCCACATGGTCTCAAAGATGAGGGACCTGGAGATACCCAGAGATGCTATTACAGTTCCCTTTCACAAAAGATAAGGCTGAAAGGAGGTAATACTAGAAATGGAGGGTCCAAACCTCAGACCTCTCCCTTATCCTTTTCCCCCTCATAAATGTTGTCATCAGGAAGTGAAGGGTGTTCACCCGAGGCCCAAAGACATATTTCTGTTTCACAGACATTCTTGTTTAATTCATTTATGTATACATCACATTTTTCTCCCTGAGACCCAAAGCGGCTTATCACATCATTCTCCTCTCCTCTACCTTATCCTTGCAACAACCACCCTGTGAGGGGGTTAGGCTCAGAGAGACAAGGGCACCTGGCAAGCTTCCACGGCAGAGCCGGGATTTGAACTGGCATCTCCTGGGTCCCAGATCAACCCTCTCACCACTACACCAGACCAGTACGTGGTCTCACATCTTTCTGCCATTGGGAAAAGAGCTTTTGTCTCCTTGTACGTGTACATCTGCATGCATAAATATTCCATCCTTTAAAAAGTCTCCCAGCATGCTTCATCTCTTGCTTTTGTGTCCTTCTGTGACTTTGGTAGGTCCTCCTTGCAGATGGAAACGGCATCCTGCATCATAGAGGTAAGGGCTCCTGAACAATCATCTCGACGCAGTCGGGTTTCTTTGCTTAGTTTCTAATCCTGCCTGAGAGCTCTGGAGACATCAGCCTGGGGAATCACCAGACTTGCTTCTCTCTGGTGGAGCTGAGAGCACTTCCAGCCTGTTTCCCTTCTCCTCTAGACACTTATAGCTCTCATTTCTTCACAAACAGACCCTGGATTTTCTCCTGGCTGCTTTTCTTCTACCTCATCTTTTGCACACTTCTTCCCTTGGCAGGGTTTGGCATTGCCTGCCATCTTGGTGTGCTCACCGGTCTGCCTTGTATTGGTGTGGCTAAAAATCTCCTGCAGGTTGATGGACTAGCCAACAATGAGCTGCATAAGGAACAAGTAAGTCTGGAATGGGAATGTGGATTCCACATTGTGAATTGTGCTACGGAGTAGAGGGAGCTGCTGTTTGTTGTTTTTCACCTCATGGAGCCTTGTAGTTACAGGAGAAGTGGTAGGATGAACGTCTGTGTGTGTGTGTGTGAACAACTGCAGTTCCAGCCATTTCCAGCAGGAGAGATCTATTGAAAGTCAAAGTGATGGTAGTGTCGGCATTTATTTATTTATTTTAGCACGTTTTTACCTTGCCTTTCCTCCAAGGAGCTCAGGGCAGCATACATCATTCTTCTCCCTTTTATCCTCACAGCAACCCTGTGAGGTGGGTTAGGCTAAAACAGAGTGACTGGCCTAAGGCCATCCAGCAAGCGTCATAGCAGAGTGGGGTCTTGAATCCTAGATCCCAGGATGGCACTCTAGCTATTACACCAAGCTGGCTTAGGGTTGGGGAGGTGCTCATGGGCGGCTTCATACACTGAGCAATGTGTATTGCCCACCATATAGTCCTGACTTCCTGGCACAGGTACCTATATCACGTGTACGCAATTCTTACATGCACCAATTACTTTTTTGCATGCAAGTATAAAGCAGTTTACATATGCATGTTAAAAATGCAACCTGACAAGTGGCTCTTGAATGAGAAGTTGTACTTTTCTGCAGGGAGCGAGACCTACAAATGAGACTCCAAATCCGGCCACTTGGGTCCCAGACTCTTTATTCAGTGATTGCTGCACTGAGCACCAGAACTGAAATGCCTGACTTGCAGGAGTAGATTGGCTGTTTAACTTATTGGGAAAGTTCCTGGAGGGCTGCTGGTGGCCAGGAGCAAGCTGAGCCAAATGGCCCTTGCTGTGTTCCCAACAGCATAGGGTCTGCGCAACTTGGACCTCAGCCATGGCAATAATGGAAACGGGTGTACTCAGCTTACTCCTGGGTTTTTTAATGACCAAGTCCACCCCTGCATGCTATTGTGATCCCAATCTTTCCCATCAAGAGTAGTTGTAGGAAGGCTAATCCAAGTACCGTCACTCATCATGTCACATCTATTTCTTGCATCCCAGATCCAGGACCTGCAGGCAGGAGGAGACACATTCCCACTATTAAGTATTTCAGGGAGAATCCTGGGCATGGTAAGCAGGCCATCTACTTATCGCAGGGGCATTCGGTGGAGATTTTGGGGAGCTCACAATGAAGCTAATGGGCAGTAGATTCAGGATGGACAAAAGGAAGTTCTACTTTACTCAATGAGTGATTAAAATACGGAATTCACTGGCAGAGAATGTAATGATAGCCTCAAGCATAGAGGGCTTTAAAAGATGTTTGAGGGGGTTTCCGGTCTTGGTGATCGCCATAGCAGTCGCTTTCCCCCGGACCTCCTGGAGAAGCTTGCCAGCGCCCACGGCTGGGAGGGGGCATGATCATCCGTGCCACCCCAGGAGCCTGAGTGAAGGGCTCCAAGCCATGGGGCACTAGAGAGCCCCCCTCCAGCAAGATAAACCGGTGAGGGGGGCTACTCCAAGCCCCGACGGTCCCGCTATGGAATGTCCTGTATGGGAACAAAATCAGCACACCGGAGCAAGCGTTTGGTGATCAAGCGATTTCAGACACAAGCGAACAATCATTGAAAATGTGAGTTTAAGTACAAGCGAGAACAACGAAAAACTGCACGGCCTTCCCGAAAGAAAATGAGGGGGGGAGGGGACTCTCCTCCGCTAAGAACGGTTTACAGGCTATTTTAAGACAGAAAGGGGGGGCACTACAAAAAGCAAATGGATTAAAATAAAGAGACTGTAAGAGCTTACTGTGTGATATAAGAACTTCCAGAGACTTTGACAAACTTTTAATAAAAGTAAACAACTCTCAAACATGGCGCCGCCTGTGACGGACCAGAGAGACAAACAAGCGAAAACAAAGCTTCTTCCTGGAAGTTCCAGCCCTGTGAGTTCTGTCCCTAGACAGGACTCAACTGCAGAACTCCAAAGGTTGTTGTCGAAAGCACTTTGCCCCCTACTGGAGAAAATTACGGCAATTGACAATAAACTTGATACACAACAAGCATAAATGGCTGCGAATACACAGAAAATTGAAAAAACAGAGCAAGAACTTAAAGAGATTGATACCAACTCAAAAAGATGAATAAAAAACTACAGGCATTGGGGGGGAAATGCCAAATCGAAGAGTCTCGAGTATTACAGCTGCAAATGGAAAGGGCAAGCTGTGTTGAGACTTCAAGGTGTCCAAGAAGAGAAAGGAGAGAATCTGAGACAGATTGTTGGCGATGTATTAGCTCCCTTGGCAGAGATGACATCGGATCAACTTCAAAGTGAAATTGATGCAGTCCATAGATTGTATACAGAATTTATCAGAAAGAATAATCTGCCAGGGAAAGTTGCAATAAGATTCTCCCGAAGAAAAGTGAGAGATCAACTATTGAAAGCATCTAATGGAGTGACCTTGAAGATAAAAGACAAAGACAGGAGTACTGAAAGACATTCCCTTTGAGATAAGAAGGAAAAGAAGGAAATACAGAGACTTGGTTTAATTTCTACAAAAGCACAATGTCTGCTACAGATGGCTAACACCCGAGGGATTAATCTTCAGATATGCAAGTGGAAAAGAAAGGATTGACTCTGTTGAAAAGGCTTGCGAGTTTTTGCATCAACACAGCAGCCCAGCAGGAGAAGGTGCAACTGATGCTGCCAAAGAAAGCGAAGAAGAAGGAGAGGCTGGATCTTCCGAAGAAGACTCTGACTCTAAATTGGAGGCTGCTGCCCCCAAACAAAGCTATCAATTGAGACACAGAAAGGGAAAAAAATAGATTGTTAATCTACTCTGGAGTATCTAAAACAAGTATATTGTATATCTTTTTACAGTCTTTTTATGAAACCAGAATTGTTGATGAATATCTAAATATTTAAATAGATGATCATTTTCAACGAAAGTTAACGTGTTTAAGCTTAAAGGTAATTTTGCAAATGTATGTATGATCACCATCTCTTGGGTTTTTAGTGGGTTTTCTTTACTTTCTCCCTTATAGTTTCCCTTTCCTAATTTTCTGTTTGTAGTTATTAGAAAAGTAATTAAAAAATCCCTTTTGGGGAGCAAAAAAAAAAAGATGTTTGAGGCAAGAAACCTCTGAATAGCAGTGCCTGGAGACAACATCAGGGGAAGGCCTCAGCCTCTATGCCCTGTTGTTGGCCCTCCAGAGGAACGGGTTGGCCACTGCATTTGACTGGATGCTAGGCTAGATGGACCATTGGTCAGATCTAGCAGAGCTCTTCTTATGTTAAGTGAGAAGAGTAAGAAGCAGAGAGCCACTGCCAAATATATAAGCCCAAAGGGGAGTAGATATTTATTGTTCCTATATTGTACTCCATCCTTTGTTAGCTGCCAGTGAGCTTTCATCTGGGATCCACTTTCAGCAGAGAGCATTCCCACACGGTCATGAGATCGTGCTGCCACTTTGAGTAGAATGGATGCCGTACGAACTTGTCCTGGCCTCCTGAATACAAAGGAAGAAGCATTTCTCTGTGACTTTAGAAAGGTTGACGTCTCAAAGACTTGTAGAGTGCACCACTCTTAGGAAGAAAGGGGTCTGGAGATGCACTTTAGAACCGTCAGCGTTCACTAGGGAATATTTTGGCACACGTTCTTGGATTTGAAGGGCGCTTGGACTCATGCAGTCACCAGCACGTACTTGAGGTCCACTTTTGTCACAGCAGTCACTGATATCGAACTGTGTGGGGATGTCCCTCTAGAAGCAGTCCCAAGAACAGTAGTTTTGATTCTGCAGCAACTATCTGGCACACCCATTCAGTCCCACCACATTCTTGGCACTTACATAGCCCCCCTCCTCCACCACTGCTACCATCAGTCTTCTACAACCTCTGAAGCCACCAGCTCTGCTGCTGCTGCTCTCAGTTGTGCTGTTTCCCACATTCCTCTTCAACCTTTAGTATGCATGGGTGCTTGCAGAAAAGCAAAAGTTCCCTTCAGTTCCCTCCCTATTGCCTTGAGTCCTTGTCTCCCTCTCTGCAAGCTAGCCTGAATTTTTACCTCTTCCTGGGGCCACTATATGTGCATGCATCCCTAAAGGAACGCGGAAGAGGAGGTCATGAGAGATGGAAAGCCAAGAGAAGACAAGTGTGTTACCCCTAACATAGTGGCCCTTCTAAAGTGGCACACCTGCATCTCTGATATTACTTGTATAATGGTGTTGATGAAGCCAAAGACCTGGTCTTTATGTTCTTGCTAACCCACCACTCTTGATCGCACCATCTCTTTGGGTTGTCCTGTGGCAATATAATTTATACTTTGAATATTCCTTACCTTTATAGGCCCTGCGCAGCTACACCAAGAGCACAAAACCTGTGTACATCTCCGTGGGTCACAAGATGAGTCTTCAGTCAGCCGTCCGCCTTGTCCACTCCTGCTGCAAGTACCGGGTTCCTGAGCCCATCCGTCAGGTGCATACTGGTTCTGCAGTTAGAAATGCATTATTGACAGCTTCAGCCTAGGGGCTAAGTGATCCAAAAATAAGACAGACCTTGCTGAGTTAGACCAAGGTCAGTCTAATGCAGCATACTGCTTCTAACAGCAGCCAGCCAGATGCATCTGGAGTCTCCATGAAAGTGACAGGTCGCCCTGGCTCTTTGTCCTGTTGATCTGGCAGTCGGAGCTTCTGTGTGTGGAGTCTCCATTTAGCATTGTAGCCTATCCTCTGTAAATTTGTGTAATCCATTTTAAAGCCCTTCATACCAGTAGCTAGCTATCACTGTATCTTGTGGTAGTAAATTCCGCTGCATTAACAATGTGTTGTGTAAAGAGAGACTTCATCTGTCTCTAGTCTACATGACAGTCTGTGAAGCATTTCTCAATATCCACAGAATTAGGGACTGGGAAGGGAGGATCTGGATTGCCTGGTCACAACCCGGAGAACCAGCCTGTCTCTTTTCTAACCCGATGGCTATAAAAAAGAGCAAGAGTCCTGTAGCACCTTAAAGAGTAACAAAATACGTGGCAGGCGATGAGCTTTTGTGAGTCACTGCTCACTCCTTCAGAAGAAGTGGCTATGGAAGAGGGTGCCGTTTTTCTTGCCTAGTGCTGTCACCTCACTTCCCTTCCAGCAGGTCTATGGCTGTACACTCCTGTGTAATTGCAAAGGAGGAGGATGGCTGCAATCAGACAGCTCCTTGAAGAGGCTGAAGGAAAAGTAGTGGAAGACAATCATGAGATGTTAAAGAGCTGGAATTCTGGGGGGCTGTGAATGACTGTTTTCCTATGCCGAGAGGAAGAATGACAGTGCTTGGGGGAGGAGGGCCAGTGGTTGTGGGGCCCTGCTGGGGTGGTCTGGAGATTTCAGGCAGAATGTGATGGGACCTTGTTATCCTGATTACTCTATTATCAATATTGGGGAATATGAGATATTATAAAATAGCAATAGGCAATAAGGGAACAAACACCTGTATATACAGAGGTCCCGCTTCTTCCAAAGATACCAGAAATAGACACGGAGGCTGGCTTCAGTATAAAAATGGTTTCCTTTTACTGGAGATTCTTCACAAACAAACAATACACAAGCACACACACACACAGTTACACAGCTTCTAAGAAAATTAGATAGACAATCAAGAGACATTCACATGAGCAGGAGATCGTGGGGGGGCAATATTTACCTGTCCTGATGAGATGATGCGTCCCAGTGGAAAAATAGAGGAGACTAATAAGAAATGAGAATTATGATTTGAAATGGAAATCATGCTCTGATCTGGCAGAAGCACATGGAAGACTCTGGCTGCAGTCCAACAGGCAGGGTGGGTTTCAGGATAGCAAGAGCTAAAAGGCTAAAGAGCTAGAGAGGATGTATAGAGGGTGAAGAGAGAGGGAGCATGTTGCTGGGTGCCCACTTTTGTATGGGGGATCTGGGGGGAGGGCTTTGCTGGCCACTTCCCTTGAGACCACTCTTTGGTGGTCCATTCCAAAAGTCACGTCTGCAATGGGAAAAGGGACTTAAGAATTTGAGAATCCGAGGAAGGATTGTAGCTGGCAGCGGGTGCGGGGGGCCTCCCACCCCAGTACATCCCGGACCTTCCCCAGGTACATTTCCATCCCCTTCTCCGAAATCCTATACCCCAAAAAGTCAATGGCTGTTTGGTGGAACTCGCGTTTGGACAACTTAGCAAACAGTTTGTGCTTGTGTAACGTCTGGAGTACTTCTCTCACCAATTTCACGTGTGAGGGTAAATCGGGGGATTACAGCAAGATATCATCTAAATAGACCAGGCCCCTTTGAACAGATGTTTGTGTAACACCTCGTTGATCAAGTTCATGAAAACTCCCAGAGTGCCCTGGAGACCGAATGGCATCACCCTATATTCGAATTGGCCCATGGGGGGTATTAAAGGCAGTCTTGTGCTCATCCCCCTCTTTAATGCGCACTCAGAAGTAGGCATCTCGGAGGTCTAGTTTGGAAAAGATTTTCCCTTTTGATGCCTCGGCCAACAAGTCTTTAATGAGTGGCATGGGGTAAGCATTGGTAGCTGACACCGCATTCAAACTTCGATAGTCAGTGCACAACCGCAACCCCCCGTCCTCCTTTTTCTGGAATAGCACCGGAGCAGCAAACGGGGAGGAAGCTGGTCTGATGAACCCTCTGGCTAAATTCTTGTCAATAAATTTACGGAGCTCATCCTTCTCGGCCGGGCCCATCACATAAATCCGGCCCTTGGGTAACTTATGCCCTGGCAATAGCTCAATGCTACAGTCTGAATGTCTATGGGGTGGGAGTTCGTCTGCTTCTTCTTCTTCAAACACCCTAGCCAAGTCTCAATACTCGGGGGAATGGAAACCAATTCTTCTTGTGCTAGGCATGCCCGAGGGGTTTCAGGCTCAGGTTTGGGGCCCCACTGTGGGTCTCAGGTGTGCGTTTTACACCGCGGGGAGATTAATAGTACTTTCCCCTCATCCCAAAGAATGTAGGGATCATGGCCATGTAGCCAGGGGCTTCCCAGCATTAGAGGGAATGCGCTGACGCGGTGATCTTCCCAGTGATCTCCTGCCCCTAATCGTAGCAGCACAGTCTCGAATTGACATGGTTCCTTAATTGAGGATCCATCAATTTGGGTGAATATTAAAGGTTCCGGCAACCGCACCACCGTGGCTTCTAGTCCGGAGACCAGGGATCGATTAATAAGGTCCCTCCCATACCCCGAGTCATTGAGACCTCTTACTCTGATATGGGTCCCCATGTTCGGATTCAAGAGAGTCACAGTCACGAAAAAAAGGGAGGGTAGCTGCTCACCACATTAGGCGCCTCCGGGATCAGGCCCTGCTGCTCCGTGCCACATACAGCAGCCCCTGCCCGTTTCCCGCTGGCTCGATGTCCTCCTCCTCACTGGTGTAGTCCTCGACTTCGGGCAGGGCCACCTGGAGAGCCTTGGCAAATTTTGGCTTGCCCGACGGTTTCTTCACTGGAGTCCCCCCGCGTGTCTTGTGCGGCTCGGGTTTCCCCTGGCCCGATCCACTGCAGTCAGCGGCGAAGTGGCCATGCTCCCCACACCTGAGGTACAACCCCTGCTTTAAGTGTTGGTCTCGGAGCGTTTCGGGTGGTCTCACCGGTTTCCCCTTCTGCGTCTGGACCAGGGTTTTTTCCCCTCCAATCGCTGCGATATCCAAGCACAAGGTGTTCAGGTGGCCTTCCGCGCTCTCCGCCTCCTGCATCCACGCCAAAAGCGATACTGGGTCCACGGAGCGGAGGACTGTTTCACGGATTTTGGGGTTCAGCCCTACACGGTACAGTTCAGCCAGGACTTGGTCCAGTCAATTATGGATCTTGGTGGCGTGGAGTTTAAATCTGGAGGAATATTCCCTCACCGAGTGCTTGCCTTGTTTCAGGGTGCAGAGAAATGTTCTGACCTTCGGGCCGGCGTTCCGGTCCTCGAACTGGGCACGCAACGCCCACATAAAAGCTTCCACACTAATAAACTCTGGCCCCTGTGAGTTGTGAAGACCCACATACCACATTGCCTGGATTACCATTTCCGAGATGGCCAGGATCACCTCCTTGAAGTCTTGCACCATTTGGTGTTGAGCCCGTTCCACCTCTACAATCCGCTCGGCCAGACCGAGGTCTTCCTCCTCTGGAGACCGGCATCTGCTGCGCTCTTTCATGCGTCCCGTCACCCATGCTCGTGTTGCAGCTTCCGATGTCGCCCCGTAGAAACATGACTCGCCCATCAGCCCGGCATCAAACTGGCTGTCTCTCCAAGGGCCCTTGGTAAGGACATAGGTCTCCTCCATCGAATCCAGGTTAAACTGCCCCCAACATAATGCCCCGGGTTGGTACAGCTGACCTCCCAGCTGCCGTGAGCCCCTCGGTGTCAAAAAGATGTGGGCTGATGCCGACTTCGGGATAGTTGTCACCGGTACCTCAGACTGGGTAGTAGGGGTCTCCCCCCCCCATCGTTGTGGGTACGGTTTTGTCCTCTTCCTTGCTCATCTTGACGTAAGAGATGCGAACAATAAGGACGATAGGATTCCTAACAGAATGTCAGGACCCACAGCCAAACAACAGAGCACACTTCCAAGAAAGGTTTTGCTTTATTGTCAGTACTATGGTTGCAGTAACATGGTCACTGCTAGGAATGACCAGCAAGGAACAAGCATACAATGATATAGAAAATTCAAGAGGTCCCCCCCCATCTGTGGGCCAATCACCCCTTTTCCTGCGGGCGCGAAAGAGTAACCGATGACCCAAACGATCCCAGGCTGAGAAACGAAACTAGTCTCACGGTTAATTAGAGTGGAGACACTACACAGGCAGGAGTACAAGGTCAGAGATAACAAGGGGAGAAGCGAGAGGGAAGGAATGTGGCACCAACTTGTACACAGGTCAGGCAGGCGAACTCTAGGCCCATAAACAATATGGCAGCATAGCTGACAGTTGAATTCTAACTGAACTTGTGACAGAGACACCTCAAGGGTCGTGATGACTCATCAGCTAGCACCTATTATGTTCTTTGTCTCAGGGCTGCAGAACCAGTTCCTGGAATGGATGAGGAAGGCCAAGTCCTTTGTCAAGCGGAAGGCGGGAAAGGGTCTTTTGTGCCTTCGATGTAGAGAAGGTGGTGGTGGGGTTTGCCAGTGTGATGAAGAAGGACTTCTTTAATGGCGTTGGGAGTCCTTAATTTAAACAGCAATGGCAGATGGCTGTTTTGGAGTGTTTCATGTGTCTAGGGATACACCTGGAACGGGGCAACCTAGGGAACCATGGGCACATCATCTCAGGCTTTTGCTGGCACGTGTCTGGCATCACAATCTGGTCACATTACATCAGAGTCTCTTTTGCACATTTTATACACAGTTCATTTATGTCCATAAAAGTGCACACAGCTCCTTGCTGGGCAACAACCTGGAGGAGATCACCTAGCTCCAGTAGGCGTGCTAATATAGGCAGGGTGAGCATAGG